AACCGGTGACCCAAATTTCATTGTCCAAGTTTGACCATTGTTTGAAAACAATGAAGTACAACATTTTGTTGGCTTCACAAATCACTTATTATTGTGTAGATTCTATAGTATCAAGTTTATGAATCACTCATTTTAATTTGGTCTCGAATGCGAAAGCCTAATAAGGAAGTCCAATGCTAGAAGATATTGTCTGCTTTAATCCGTTACCTATCGTTGTCAGCCTACGGTTTTAAAACGCATCTATCTACTAGGGAGAGGTTTCCACTCCCTAATAAGGAATGCTTCATTCCTCTCTCCAACCGATGCGGGATCAACAAGCCCACTGCTAGCAGATATTGTCTGCTTTGGCTCGTTACGTATTGTTGTCAATCTCACGTTTTAAAACGCCTCTACTAAGGAGAGGTTTCTACAAGGAATGCTTTGTTCCCCTCTCCAACATATATGAGATCTCACAATCCACCCCCTTGAGACCTAGTGTCTTGGTCATATTTGTCCAAGGCGTGTTGCCCATGACCGCATGCCCATTACAAGTCAAAACTATTGTCTTGTATCACTTTATCACTTTCCGCTTTCATGACATATAATTTTTTTTCTTTATTTTTCTAGGTGTACGACGTTTTAGTAGAATCATGTATACGCCTAGTAGATATGAAATGCCTCAAAATGTACTATGCGAGGTGTGACTAGTTGTCAACTCCTCTCCGTGATTTTGTATGACTTTTTGGCGAAATCACGTCTAGGCCTGCCAGATCTAATTGTCTCAAAATATACTATAAGGGATGAGACTAGTTGTCAAATTCTCCCTACCTGAAAAGATATATGTTTTGTTTTGCTTGTATTTAACATTTCTTTCAATCTCTCTAAACCTTGCTTTCAAAATCTCTCTACTTACGTTTTTTAAAACCTTCTTCTCAAATCGAGGCCAGAGGCTTGAGCATACGTTACTCGGTTGTAGGCGATGTGATCCTAAGTTTACTCGACTCACCTAGTACTGAGAGTGAGTGTCGCACAATCGCCAAATCCACTGCCAAGAAAAAGGTGATTGTGACTCAAAGCGTCCTCATTGGCACACCGCCTGCTGTTTGGCTTTGATACAATTTGTAATAACCCAAGCCAACAGCTAACAAATATTGTAATAGTCCAAAAATAAATAAACAAACAAACAAATAAAAAAAAACTTTATAAAAAAAATAGTTAAAATAATAATTAATTAATTAATTAAAATTTAAATTTAAAAAAAAAAAAAAAAATCCCTACCTTTCTCCACTACCCTCTCATCTCATCCCTTCTAGCAATTAACTCTCCTCAACCCATCCTTAAGTCAACTGCAAAAAAAAAAAAAAAAAAAAAAAAAAAAAAAAAAAAAAAAAAAAAAAAAAAAAAAAAAAA